GAGTAATCTTTCATAGTGATTGCCTATTTAAATGATAATACTTCAGATGTTGTTTAGTCACTAAGTCGTGTCCGACTCTTTGTGACCCCGTGGACTATAGCCCACCAGCTCCTCTGCCCATGGGATTTCCCAGGCAAGAATACTGGATTGGATTGCCATTTCCTTTTCCAGGGGATCTTCCTGACCCCAGGATTGAACCCATGACTTGTGCTTGGCAGGCAAATCTTTACCACTGAGCCACTTGGGAAGCCCAATACTTCAGATATACCTGGTTGAATAAACTATATTATTAAAATTAATTTCATCTGTTTCTTTTGACTTTTAATGTAGCTATTGGCAAATTTTAAACCTCACACAAGGCTCTTCCTTTTTTTCCCCTTTTTTCTTTTCTTATCGAAGTATAATTGATTTACAATGTTGTGTTAACTTCTACTGTACAGAAAAGTGATTCATTTATACATATATATAATTCTTTTTTTATATGCTTTTTCATTATGGTTTATCACAGGATATTGAAGAGTTCTCTGTGCTATACAGAGAGTGTTTATTCATTCTGTATATAAAAGCTTACATCTGCTAACCCCAGCCTCCCCCTCCATCCTTCCCCAAGCACACCACCCTCGGCAACCACCAGTCTGTTCTCTCTGTCCAACATACGGCTCTTCTTGAAGTTCTACTGGGCGATGCTGGTCTGAGCATCCTTAACACTGAACTGCTACCCAACCAGGCAGGAAAGAGCAGTTGGCCTTTACTAATTGAAATGGGTGTCATCGCTCCCCTCACCCTGCCCCACTTTGCCAGCGCGCCCTCTTCCCTGCCCTGCTTTTCTCCCTCGCACTCATCTCCCTGACATCTGGCATATTTACTGGGTTTATTCTCAGCCTCCCACACATAGATAGGGATTCCTATGACTCGTGTCCCCAAGACCTGGCACACTCTAGATGCTCAGTTAATGTTTGTGAAAGGGAGTGAATGAAAACTCAGGGAATGTTTATCCAGGTGGCTCAGTGGTAAAGAATCCGCCTGCCAGTTCAGGAGACATGGATTTGATCTGTGGGTTTGGGAAGATCCCCTGGAGGAGGAAATGGCAACCCACTCTAGTATTCTTGCCTGAAAAATCCCATGGACAGAGGAACCTGGCGAGCTACAGTCCGTGGGATCACAAAGAGTAGGACACAACTGAATGAGCACACACGTGCACGTGCACACACACACACACACACACACACATACACACACACACACACCCCTTAACAATGGCTTTTACCTGCTGAGAAAGAAGAAAGTAAAATAGACTGGTGATCTACAGGATGGAGTTTGAGAAATCCACATGAAAATTGGGAGAGGAAGAGAAAAAAATAGAATTAAATGAATGAAAATTTCCTTTGGGTTGCTTGGCAGGGCCCCCATATACACTTCAGCTTCATGGCATCACCCAAATCCCCACCGTGCGCCATTTCCTTCCCTGAATTTGCCTTCCCACCCCAGGCTGTCTGTCTCAGCCATTTTCTCTGCCTAGAAAGTTCTTCCCCTACTGATTAGATTCCACCTGCTCATCCATGAATCCTCAGGTTGAAACGGGAACCTCCCTGGGTCCCAGATGAGTTAACACTACCTGCTGTGTACCCTCAGAGCTGTTGTTTTTGTCTGCTCTGTCTAAGAATGCATCACACCCTCAATGGGTTCAATCTCTGTGTGCGTTTTTTGATTAAACTGTTTTTCTCCTGCATCAGCCCTACTAAGCAGGGAGGGCCTCAAGTACTGCTTTGCCCAGGACATACGATGTGTTTAGATGTACATTTGATAATGGTGGAAGAGGAGGTTAGCCCAATCTAACAGACACATCTCTGTCCTAGGAATGGTGTCTCTGGTGGTAAAGAGCCACTCCTAGTGCAGGAGACCCGAGATCAATCCCTGTGTCAGGAAGATCCCCTGGAGAAGGGAATGGCAGGCGGCTCCCTGCTGCAGTATTCTTGCCTGGAGAATCCCACGGACAGAGGAGCCTGACAGGCTACAGTCCATGGGGTCACAAAGAGTCCGACACGACTAAGCGACTAGCACTTTCACTTTCTGTCCTAGGAAGGAAAGAGCTGGGAATACTCCTGTCTCAGGTTGGAGTGCCCCCACATTGACCCTGAGACAGGGATTCGGGTCCAAGTAGTTCATCTGGGAAGTGACTCCAGGAAATGTGGGTGGGGGACAAGAGTGTGGAGACAGGGAAGAATGAGGGGTTCAGCAGGTTACCCTCAATGGGCAGCTGGGCTCAACCTCTCTGGGAGCCTATATGGAACTCACACCTCAATCTCAGAGCAATCTGGAAGGAGGGGGCGAGGGAGCTGGGGAATTCATCCACCTCTTCCCAGCGATCTTTGGTGGAGGGCTGCTCTCATGGGGGAATTCACTGCCTGGCTCTGTCTTAGCTTCAAAGAAAGTCCTGAGACAAAAGCGTGCCAATACAGTTTATTAATACAGATGCCAATGCAGGTTGTTAATAGATGCAGATACTGATTGTTTCAAAGACAAAGAGATGTACTATTACTATATATAAAATAATATATTTTATATTTATATATAAAATAAATAATCAACAAGGACCTACCGTATAGCACAGAGAACTCTCCTCAATATTCTGTTAATTAATCTGTATCGGAAAAAGATTTGAAAAAGCATGGTTGTGTGTGTATGTGTAACTGAATCACTTTGCTGTACCCCTGAAACTGACACAGAGTTGTGTATCCAATATACACAATATACTCCAACATACAATAAAAATTTTAAAAAACAAGACAAAGAGGGACTTCCCTGGTGGTCCAATGGTTAGGACTCCACACTTCCTCTGCAGGGAGCATGGGTCAGTCCCTGGTCAGGAAACTAAGATCCCACATTCTGCATGAGCCGCCAAAAACTAAAGACAGATGTAGATACTGGTTATTCACAGGCCAAAGTTGTAAAACTCAGACTCCTGGACAAGAAGGAAGACACCCCCAAATTATTTGTGTGGTCTCCATCCTGTTAATCACAGTGCGTGCTCAGTAGCATCTGACTGCTCACAACCCCATGGATTGTAGCCTGCCAGGCTCCTCTGTCCATGAAATTTTCCAGGCAAGAATATTGGAGTACGTTACTATTTCCTACTCAAGGGGACCTTCTTGACCCAGGGATCCAGCCTGTGTCTCCTGCATTGGCAGGCAGATTCTTTACCACTGTGCCACCTGGGAAGCCTGTTCTTAACCACAGAATCCTCTGTTTTTCAGCATTCCGTGCTCATCATCTGAGGTTCCAGTGACAACCTTTTCTGTGCTGTGGTTCCATGGTCATCCCTACTATGTTTCTTATTTAGGAAACGATCTAGGGGGTTCCTTGGGCTGAGGAAGGGCTGTGGAACCCCTTGTCTCACCAGAAACACTTTTACAAGTGAGGTCTTAGGATGGGGTCTTTATGTGAGGGGTGAGGGAAGGGGGCTTTCTACAGAAGGCTCATCTCACCTATTGCCATGTCTCCTACCTGCATTTACAAGAGTGACTTTTTGCCCTGACACTTTGCGTCTGTAGCCCTCTCTGGGGCTGATGCCAGCTAGTCCACCCCAGCAGGACCACACCCATTGTTTGAGGTGTTTGGGTTTTTTTGTTTTTTGTTTTTTTTTTCATTTATTTCCCAATAGCTTAACACACTTCCTGTATGCCAGGTACAATGCCTACCACTTCACATGTATTAATTCGTTTCATCCTCACATCCCTTTGAGGGTTCAGTACTGTTGTTATCCTTGTTATACAAAAGGGAGACCTGAGGCATGGAGTGGAAAAGTAACTTACCCACAGTCACCCAGCTGGGAGATGGTAGAGCTGGAGTTTGAACCCATGCCAGCTGAGGTCTTAGTACTAAGCTACTTTCTTGCCAGTTGGTAAAGTGACCTGAGCCCAAAAGGTCTGTCACTCCCCTAGTGCCTCCAAGTTTCCCCACAATGCATCCTGATCTTGGGTTGTGAAATATACTGAGTATCTCCCCAACCATGTGCCATGGGAAAAGTTTCTCTTCTTCTCAGCCCAACGGTTATTAAGTGAAAGGAAGTGAAAGTTACTCAGTCATATCTGACTCTTTGCAACCTCAGGGACTGTACAGTCCATAGAATTCTCCAGGCCAGAATACTGGAATGGGTAGCCTTTCCCTTCTCCCCGGGGATCTTCCCAACCCAGGGATCAAACCCAGGACTCCCACATTGCAGGCGGATTCTTTACCAGCTGAGCCACACAAGGGAAGTGTTTATTGAGTATTAAGACCTATCTGGGGCCTTTGTAAGTCATCTTTTATCCTGTGAAGCAGGTACTATTAACACCATTTTACTTATGATAAAACTGAGACCCAACCTGTGGTCACCCTGCCCAGAAAGCAGCCTGGTGCTCTGACGACCTGGAGGAGTGGGATGGGAGCAGGCAGAGAGGCTCAAGAGGGTGGGGATATATGCATATATATGTATATATGTATCAGTCAGTCAGTTCAGTCTCTCAGTTGTGTCCAACTCTTTGCAACCCCATGGAATGCAGCACGCCAGTCTTCCCTGTCCATCACCAACTCCCTGGAGCTTGCTCAAACTCATGTCCATCGAGTCGGTGATGCCATCCAACCATCTCATTCTGTGTCGTCCCCTTCTCCTCCTGCCTTCCATTTTTCCCAGCATCAGAGTCTTTTCCAATGAGTCAGTTCTTTGCATCAGATGGCCAAAGTGTTGGAGCTTCAGCTTCGGCATCAGTCCTTCCAGTGAATATTCAGGACTGATTTCCTTTAGGATAGATTGATTTGGTCAATCAATTATATATGTATAATTGATTATATATATAATTATGGCTGATTCACATTGTTCCACAGCAGAAACTAGCACAGCATTGTAAAGCAGCTATCCTGGAATTAAAAACTTGAAAAAAAAGAAACCACAACATTGAACCCCCCACCCACCTCTCTGACCCTGAAACCCACCGTCTGCTTTCTGTTCTGGCTTCTTCCAGCATCTTGGCCACAGTTGGGACGGAGTTTGACCTAAGGACGCTGAGGGCAGTTCGAGTGCTGCGGCCGCTCAAGCTGGTGTCTGGAATCCCAAGTGCGTGAGTTTCTGACCCTGGCAAGGGGTCTGCTCAGGGGTCCTGGGAGCCCTCGATTTCCCTTCTACAAGAGGGTCTCATAGGCGCCCTCAGATGCTTCCCTAGCCTGGGTCAGGGCAGCCTCATCTTTGGGGAAGCCCCTTCAGGGACTCCCACCCCCACCCCCAGAAATCTGGCTGCAGGTCTGGGTGAACTCCTAAAAGCCAGCCAGGAGCCTCACCCATCCCCACAGCACCCATTTACTGAGCACTTCTCTATCAGGAGCCATGCTAAGCTCCACCCAGGACCCCATTCCATAATCACAGCCCTGTGAAGTTGATAGGACCAAAATCTCCACTTTACAGATGAGGAAACTGAGGCTCAGGGCAGCTGAATAATTTGAGCAAAATCATGTGGCTGAGAATGGAAGAATTAAGAGCTAGCCAGCATGCCCCCACAGCCTGAATAATATTGGTGGCAATGATGATTACCATTTATTGAGTTCCTACCACATACCAGGCACGGCAGAAATAGCTTTTTGTGTATTATCTTAGTTTGTCCTCACAATCACCCAGTGAACCCATTTTATAGATGAAAAGGTAGAGACTTAGAAAGGTTAAATGACTCACCAGAGTTCTCACAGTGTGACACCATGAGTTCCCAAGTCTGCCCGTTCCATGCTGTTTTCTCATCCTCCAAGAATGGATGGATGCTTCTACTCCAGACCCTTTGTGGGTGGCTGTACTATTCATAATCAGGATTAGGTTCAGCTGCAAAAAAAAAAAAGAAAGAAACAGGGCTAACCTTTTTCTGTTCTACTGGTCAGTAGCAGTAGTAGTACTATATTAATAATAATAATTAATATTTTTATTTATAAGTACTTAAAATGTATCAAGCACTCTTGTAGTATTTGCCATTTAAAAAAAACGCATTTATCCTCACAACAAGCATATGAGGTAGGTCTGTTATTACCACCGTTTCGCATTTCATTATCTTCATTCTTCAGGTTCACTGCCATCCAGATTTAAAGACTTAAGATTTCCCAGATAACCACCAGCAGGATCTTTTTGTAGAAAGAAGGCACAAGGCACTTCTGCTCAGGTGTCCACAGAATTCCAGCAGGTGCCTGTTGGTCAGTCGTTCAGTCATGTCCAACTCCATGGACTGCAGCACACCAGGCTTCCCTGTCCTTCACTGTCTCCTGAAGTTTGCTCAAACTCATGGCCATTGAGTCAGTGATACCATCCAACCATCTCATCCTCTGTCGCCCCCTTCTTCTTTTGCCTTCAGTCTTTCCCAGCATCAGGGTCTTTACCAATGTGATGGCTCTTTGCATCAGGTGGCCAAAGTATTGGAGCTTCAGCATCAGTCATTCCAATGAATATTCAGGGTTGATTTCCTTTAAGATTGACTGGTTTGATTTTCTTGCTGTGCAAGGGACTCTCAAGAGTCTTCTCTTCAAGGGACCAGAGATGCTTACGTCATGTTGAATCAAGTTCCATCCCAAAGCTGATACTAACAAGAATCTCTGTTTAATGACCATCTATGATATGCCAAGGGCTTTGCTAAGTGTGAACCCTCTTATTTAATCCTGAGAGGGAGGTGCTCAGTCTCCTCCCCATTTACAGATGAAGAGCCTGATAAATTAAGATTTTTAGTTGGAGTTTCAATATTAAACTCTCAAAGATTAATAGAATGAAGATATAGAAAAGTAGAAGGATACAGTAGACCTGAAAAGTACTAGAAAACCAATTCAACATAATTAAGATTTATATAGTTTTCACCCAACAGTAGGATACGAATTATATTCAGGTTCTCATAGACTATAAACTGGGAGACACTGAAGAGTATCCAAGGACATAAAACAAGAAATCCTCATTTTAACCACATTATTTGTTGTTGTTTAGTCACTAAGTTATGTCCAACTCTTTTGTGACCAGGGATCAAACCTGTGTCTCCTGCACTGGCAGGCAGATTCTTTACTGTTGAGCCACTTGGGAGCATTTTAACATAGACTTTCCTAAAGGTTGGTTACAGACATGGGATTTGACCTCAATTCCAACCTGGGTTCGAATCCTGGCCCTGTTATTTCTCACACCTTGAGGCTGAATCCTCATTTTAAGCATGGCGCCCTCTGAGCTTTGCTTCCCACCTCTGTAAAATAGGGATAATTTTACACATGTGCCCGCCTCATCTAAAAGCCAATGAAATATCTGGTTTCTCAGGGTTGGGACTAGGACATTGACTGCCTTCCCAGGCCGAGCTACAACTAATGCATATGGCATTGTATGAATTAGGAAAGAGATTCCCCCTCTTGGTGGAAAAAGGTTAGAAAAAGGCACCCTGATCTGAATGAAAATTGTGCAATACCCAAGAATAGGGCTCAGAAAGCTATGAACTTCCACCTCTTACCTGCCCCAAAAGTCATCAAACAGGACAGCCTATGCCCAGTACTTTAACAAATATTTTTAAAATCAAAAAATGGGGAATTTCCAGTGGTTAGAACTCAGTGATTTCACTGCCATGTTCCCAGGTTCAGTCCCTGGCCAGGGAGCTAAGATCCTGCAAACCAAACGGTGTGGCCAAAAGAAAACCAAAAAAAAAAAGTGCTTAAAATATAAGGAAGGATTGTTCCTTTTATTAAAATGAGCAGCCTGCATGTCTTCCATCCATCTCCCCTCACCCTTGCCCTGTCCCCCGCACCCCACGTGCTCTGAGTCTCCTTAGGAGGCATCCTGGGGGCGGCGTTTCAGGGGACCTTCTCACAGGCCTCTGGGGCCTCTCTCTCTCTGTGTCTCCCCAGGTTTACAAGTCGTCCTGAAGTCGATCATGAAGGCAATGATCCCCCTGCTGCAGATCGGCCTCCTCCTATTTTTTGCAATCCTTATTTTTGCAATCATAGGGTTAGAATTTTATATGGGAAAATTTCATACCACCTGCTTTGAAGAGGGCACAGGTAGGTCCAAGCAGCATCATAGATTTTTTGCTTTCCAGCCTTCCTCCCCTTTCTTTTCTCCCCTTGGGGACAAGCTCCTGGACAAGGTCTGCAGGGCTTTGCTTCTCTCTCCTGGAAGCTGGGAGAACATCTTCCAGAAGCCAAGGCAGGGGCTGAAACAGCCCCAGAGATCTTGGTTGTTGCTGGATGTTACACTGGGGTACCTGAGAAGCTGTCCCAGGGTAAGTGGTTTATTGGGGAAGTGATCCCAGGAAACACCTTCAGGTGAGTGAGAAAGTGAGACAGGGAGGATCTAGTAACATCTAGGGACGTTATCAAGTAGGTTACCATCTTGGGCAAGGTTACCAGACCTCAGCTCCATTGGGCACCTGGAGGAAACAGGGTAAGTCATACGCCTTAGACCCATCCCACACGAGGGGCGAGGGACCTGGGTATTTATCCACCAAATTCTGTCCGACATTGGCGGGGATTGAGCCCAGGCTGGACATTAATGCCCTGGCACAGCTGGCTGCCCCAAACACTGGGCAGGAGCAGGCATCAAAGATATTTTCAGTGGGAACGTGTAGGGGCAAAAGACAGCAGAATGTAAATTCAGTACCTACAGCCTCTGCCTAGCTACCCTGCAGCGACCCCAGACCCTAGCATGTACTGAGTTCTGAACCTCCTTGCTGTTGTTGTTTAGTTACTAAGTCATGTCCAACTCTTGGCGATAACATGGACTGTAGCCTGCCAGGCCCCTCAGTCCATGGGATTTCCCAGGCAAGAATACTAGAGTAGGTTGCCATCTCCTTCTCCAGAGGGTCTTCCTGACCCAGGAATCCAACCTGCATCTCCTGCATTGGCAGGCGGATTCTTTACCACTGAGCCGCCAGAGAAGCCTGAAACCTCCTTACCCTGAAGGAAGGGAGAGTTGAGGGTGACTCCTAGTCTCCTCAAGAAGATGTCTTAAAGACATCCCACTGGGAATCCTGGCACCAACCAGTCAGCATCAAGCACAAATAGGATCTTGGCTCCTCCCCTCCCCACACTGTGCCACGGTCAACCCCTTAGCTTAGCGGCTTCCCTGGTGGTTCAAGTGTTAAAGAAGCCATCTGCTAATACAGGAGACATGGGTTTAATCCCTGGTCCCGTAAGATCCCCTGGAGAAGGAAATGGCAACCCACTCCAGTGTTCTTGCCTGGGAAATCCCATGGACAGAAGAGGCTGGCAGGCTACAGTTCATGGGATCACAAAAGAGTTGGACACGACCTAAACAACAACAACAGCAAGAAAGGATGGGGGAGGATGACTCAGGAAAAAAACCAGGAAGACCAGAAGTCACAGATTTAGTCTCTGAAACAGTAGTGAAACAGCCTGGGTGTCCCTAGCTATCCATATTCTCAGGGACCTAATAGCTTCCACATTCATCTTTGATTAAGTCCCCTGCTATGCAAACCTGGCTACTTGCTCTCTGAAGCCAAAGAGCCAGATGAAATCAAATAAGAGGGAAGCCTGTATTTCAATACTTGGACCATGGGCCTCCTCATTGTGGATGGGCTGAATGACAGTGATAGTCGTGGGTCAAGGAAACTGTGAATGGAGACAGGGGAGCCTGTCTGAGAAGGGAAGAAGGTTTCAGGCCTGCCTTATTGGGAAGATAATTCTGTCCTGGAGTGGCTTCCCATCCACCTTCTCTTCCTGGTGACCCCCAGGTAACCGAACCCTCTCCCCAGACCTCCCAGAGGGCAGGAAAACCCAGTAAGGAAGGTTTATTCAAGAGGCTTTTTTTTTTTTTTTTGCTTCCTTTCTTCTTGCTCCTCCCATCTCCTTCTCTCCTGGGCTTGTGAAGTTTGCTCAATATGGGATGTCCTAATTATTTCTTTCCCCAATGAAGAAGGTGTTAATTGAGGCAGAGCTATTTCTGCTCCTGGCCTCAACACCTGGGCGGAAATGCTGGAGGGAGAGATGCAGGGCGGGGCCCCTTGGAAACATCAGCCGAGAGCAGAGAAACCAGAACTCCTGGATCCTGGGTTTTTTGTTTTTGTTGGTTCTCTCTCTTATCTCTCTCTCCAGCCAAGGGGACAGAGGACTGGCTTGAGTCTAAATCAGGGTTGAAAGGGGACAGACGTGGGTGGGGCAACTGGAGGGTAGGAAGCCTTGATTTAGGAAAGATGACTGAAAAGCTCACAATTAAAAATATAAGAATGTGTGAGTAAGAGACAGATATATACAGACACCCAGGCAGCAGGTTAATTTTAAAATATATTTATAACCAAATTCCTCAGACTGTCTGGATGGTGGCTTTTCTAGAAGCAGCCCCCAGAGGGTTTCGTGATGAGGGGGCTGGCAGGTCACAATCAGGAACACCAGTGGGCTAGGGGTGCCCAGCACTATGCTAAACACCCAGAGAAATGCAAAGGAAAGGTGGGAGAGCTTCCTGTTTTCCAAGAGCTTCCAAAATAGTTTGAGGAAACAAGACTCCTCATCTGGAACTAGTCTATAGCAGTGCAGGTTAACGCCTGCTTTTATCTCCTCACCAAATGTGAACATTTGGGAGCTATTGTAGCCCCGAGGGGGGAAAAAAGGGACCAGTAGACTGGACTAACCCAAGAGAGGGAACGGTGTTGGTGGATGGGAATTGAGCCAGACTTGGACAGAAGGTGAAAATGGAGAAGGTTTTGGACAGAGGCAACCTTCCCAGCAAGCCGTGGTTCTCGTTCATGATACGAGCCCATGGAATTTTCCCTTTTGCCCCGAGTCTTATGTTTAAAAGATTTTGCCTTCCAATCTGTATTCATTAAATCAGCCGCTATACCAAGTCTGACATGAAAGGGAAAAGTATTTCCCACAACTTAAACTAGTGATTGGGATGTCAATGCTTCTTGAGTTGTAGGTGTCCCTTCTGATATGGCAAATGTCATTTTGCATGGCCTAGAGTTTCTATTTAACAGGAGTCTCAAAGGCCAGTAAGATTCACGCATTCTGTGTTGGCTTATTTCTCCCTGTTTCTTGCTAAGTGGAGATTAAAAATGGGCTGCAAACCCTATATGTAGCATGTGCATTGAGATATATTTTTGTTTAGTGGGGAACTTGAGTTTACACACTCAGCTGTTCGATTTCTTATCGGACAATGTCACTCTCTAAAAACCTTCAAAAGTGTCACTCACTGAACAGGATCCTCTCATATCTGTGGCTCTGGTCCAATGGGATGTTCTATACACACCCAGGATGTTCTGTACTCCCCTGATTCCATGTCCTCATGAAGGCATCACCTTAGAATTCAGACTCAACCTTTATCACTCAGTCTGAGTTTGCCAGGAAGCTGTCTCTGGTTTCCAGCAAAAGGGGTGTCCATTGACATGTGTCTCTTTCCTTGTGGCATTTTCACAATCTGCCTCTTGCTATTTGGGGAGACAGCCTAGCTCCTGTGCTGAAGGTTGAGTGCTGTGTGTTCTGGCCTCCCTCGCCCCCACTCCCTGAGCCCAGTACATCTCAAGAAAAAAAAATCAGTCAGGCTACAGAAGAATAATACACCACAGTTGACAAATGTGTGCTAATGGAAGTCTGCAGAACACTGCCCCCAATCACTTCAAAATGCACACAGCAGATTTACCAAAGTTGACTGTTGTTGGGACCTTAAAGTTCATCTCAACAGATTTCAAAGGACAGAATAATACAAAACATATCCTCTTGACCACAGTTCAATTAGGCTAGAAATTGGTAACAAAAAGATAACACTGAAAGTGTTTGGAAATTAAGAGACATGCTTCTTATTTGTTCGTGAAATGCTAGGATGTCTGAGATTTGCTTTAAAAATATTTTAATGTGGGGAGGGGATGTGGATGAAACAAAATTAGCCCTGAGTTGATAAATGTTGAAATTGGTGATGGTGGTACATGGGAATTCATTACATTACTCTATTTTTGTATATATCTGACAAATTTTTGCTGCTTCTTGGTTATCCACAAATCAAAGAGGAAATAATAATGAATAATTTATATTAAAATAAATAATAATTTACTTGAACAATAATGATAACAGTGCATGACAGAATTTGTGAGGTGCAGTTAAAGCTGCACTAAAAGGGCAATTTATAGCCTTAAGTAACATTAATCTATCTCAAAAGTTTAGGAAAAGAACAGGAAAGGGAACACAGCTTAGAGAACAAATTAATGAAATAGAAAACAATGAATAGATCAACCAAGCCAAGCATTGGACTTTTTGGAAAAAGACTGATAAATCCATCCTAAGAGCCATTTTTCTGCAGATTCAACAGCATTGGATGTTCACTGGCTCCTGTTTCTCAGAGCTGATTTTGCCGGCCCTTTCCCCTGACTTTTCTCCTCTTCCATTTCATAGATGACATTCAGGGTGAGTCTCCAGCACCGTGTGGGACAGAGGAACCTGCCCGCACCTGCCCCAATGGGACCAAATGTCAGCCCTACTGGGAAGGGCCCAACAATGGGATCACTCAGTTCGACAACATCCTGTTTGCAGTGCTGACTGTTTTCCAGTGCATCACCATGGAAGGGTGGACTGACCTCCTCTACAACGTAAGTGATGAGGGGTGGTGGAGAGCCAGGCCCAGCCAACTCCTGAGGCTGAAGTGGAGGGACCCTGAACCAGGGAGACCGCTCAATATGGCCCGAGGAGAGCCAGCCTAAGGCTCTGTCCTTTGATGATATGGGGGTCTTGTCCTCAGAACTCTTAATAGGGAAGGACCTTCGGGAGGTGAGAATCTAGAGGGCACACAGATGCTGAATAATTTTTAATTGCACGAGTTTTTAAATATAATTTTAGATTTTTGAATATGTAAAGGGTTGCATGAGGTTAAAAGCCAACGTAGAGGAAAGAGAGAGGCATGTCTTGGACACCTACCCAAAGGGATTCTGTGCTGGAGCTCTTGCTGACCTTCCTCCGGCTGTGCCCCTCGCTGTGGTGCTGATGGGAGCTGGTGCCACCACCCCTCCACTTTCTAGATCATAGTGTGGGTCATCTGAGATCCTAGAATTCCCTGCCCAAGCCCAGAGCCCATGAACTTGGATTCTTCCGTGAGTCTGTTGTCTGACTACCTTACCCATTGTATCCCCTGAGGTCTAACAATGTCCTTGGGGTAGTTGTTGGCACAAATGTGGCTGGAATATGGACGTGCAGATTGGCACGTCCAGGCATGTGTGTGTGGAGCCCTCCCTCCCCTGCCCCCAGGTGGCAGGCCATGGTCAAGGGGCAGGGAAGCCTGTCCGCACCCCTTAACCCAGTGCAGACATCCAGATTCTAAATTCTAGACTGACCTTCCCAGTGCTTATGAAGATATGTTTGTGCAGGAGAAGCATAGAGCATGTTTTATTTAGTAGTTTTTAAATATTCACACATATTATGTGGGCCTCAGTTGGTTCTCTTGCCCTCAGTCTTGAAATTGTTAAGGACAGGTCTGAAAAGATGTACGCTCCTACCTGCCTCCCCTTCTACCCTGTTTCCTGTCCCCCATCCCTGGACAGTTACACATGTCACACACTGCACAAGTCTCCACATCTTGGGAGTGGGAGTCATATTATAGACCACATAGATTTCTACCATTATGTCCATATTTCCATTAGACAAATCTAAAGGATGTGGGGAAAAGCCATGGTGGCTTTGACTTTGCCTAATGACCTGGCCTGAGCATGGCATCTCTAGGAACAGACAGCAACTTTGAGATCATCAGGAGCTTTCTTGGGTCAGGTTGCATCATGGGGTTGACATCCAGAAAGAGGTTCAGAGGAAGACCAATGGGAATGTGCTCAGTGGTGGATGAGGAAGTGTGAGCAGGACCACAGATTTCCAGAGGGTTCTATAGTCGGAAGCACCACTGTCTGAGGAGATTCTTACTCTGGAAGCTTTGAGCTGAACCACCTTGAGAGACTCAAGCTCAGGGGAAACAGTTGAAAGAGCAGAGTTAGGCATCAGGCTGCCTGGCTTCCCCTCCCGACCCCACCACTTCCATGCTGTGCAACCTTGGGCAAGTCGCTTACATTCTTTATGTCTCTGTTTCCACATGTGCAAAATGAAAAGCACAATCCTACCTCACAGGGCACAAGGACTGAGTAAGGTGAATATATGTGAAGCGTTTAGAACCATGGCCCTAGGTAAGCTCTCTGTAAGCCAAATTTTCCACCCCAACAGGCGCTCCTTTTAGAAATGTATGAATTTTTCATTGTGAAAAGTCTGGCAGCACCTGAGGAAGTGAGGTGAACCACTGGGTCCCACTTTGTTCCCCGCTCTCACCCCACTGGTAACTGCCGCAGAGTAGCCTTCTAGAACTTGCCATGCAGTTATATCCCACCCGTCATATTTTGGTGGAAACCCGAGCAGGAATTTGAGCCTGATGTGAGCCAAGAGCAGTAATAAAGTACCACACTGGGTGGCTTAAAACAACAGACATTCATTATCTTACAGTATGGAGGCCAGAAGGTGTTAGCAGGGCCAGGCACCCTCCAGAGGCCCTCAGGGAGAATTCTTCCTTGCCTCTCCCAACTTCCGGTGGCTGCCAACCATCCTTGGCATTCTTTGGCTTATTGATCCTCTGTCCTCCTCTTGAAGATCCCATCTGCACACGGCCATCTTCTTATAAGGACGCTTACCCTGTTGGATTAGGGCCCACCCTACTCCAGTACGATGTCATCTTAACTAATTACATCTGTAATGACCCTATTTTTCTTTTTAAAAAAAATTTTTTTCTTATGTGATTTTTTTGGCTGGCTGCGCTGGGTCTGTGCTGCCACGAGCAGGCTTTCCCTAGTTGCAGTGCTGTGGCTTCTCTAGTTCTGTAGCACAGGCTCTGGGGCAGGAAGGCTGGCCTGTGGGCTCACTGCCCCGTGACATATGGAATCTTTCAGGACCAGGGATCAAGCCTGTGTTCCCTGCATTGGAAGGTGGATTCTTAACCACTGGACCACCGGGGAAGTTCGAGCTTATTTCTAAATAAGGTCACATCCTGAGGTCGTGGAGGTTAGATCTTCAACTTATCTTGGCTGGGGGGTTGGTGAGGGGGAATTGCATAATTCAGTTCGTAAATCTCCCAAATAAACTACTTGTACTTGAACCCTTGTCTGGGACTTCCTAAATTAAGACAGTCCACCTCCTGTGGGAAGGTGGGGACCCCCTTAAGAGGGAGGGGATATATATATACTTATAGCTGATTCTTGTTGTCATACAGCAGAAACTAACGAACATTGTAAAGCAATTATACTTCGATTGAAAGTAAATTTATAAAAAAAAGAAAAGAAAAGACAGCTCCTCAACCCAAAATACAACCACTAGGATCACTCATTGGTAAGGGCAGAAGCTAAGGTGGCATCTTTGAGTTTCTGCTTAGCGGAGACAGAGCTTTTCCAGACTCATCTGAGCCCTGCTCATGTGCTCTGCCATCTGCCAGGCCTGCCCTAGGACACCCCTAGCTCCATCCAGCCACAGGCAGGCGCAGTGTCCGGACTCTTTGTCCTTTATCTTGTGCTGGAGCCAAGCCCGTGGGCATGGCCTTACCAGCCACTGTCAGGCAAGATCCATGGGAGAGTCCGGAAGCACCTGCTTCAAGCATTTTAGAATCCACAGGCTTGGAGGCCAAACATCTCTTTTCTTTTCTCAACATTGAAATCCATTTGTTTATTCCATAATTACTTATTTTTAATTATTATTTTTTAAACTTAATTAATTTATTTATTTTCAGCCAAACTGGGTCTTTGTCGCTGCACTCATGTTTTCTCTAGCTGTGGTGCCTGGGTTTCTTATTGCGGTGGTTTCTCTTGTTGCAGAGCACAGGCTCTAGGGCACGCAGGCTCAGTACTTGTGGCACACGGGCTTAGTTGTCCCATGGTATGTGACATGGACCAGGATTCCTGGACCATGGGATTGAACCCGTGTCCTCTGTGTTGGCAGGGGGAGTCTCAACTGTAGACCACTAGAGAAATCCCATAATTACTTACTGAATGTCCACTGTGTGCCAGGAAATGATCAGGTAATCAGGGGTAGCACAATGAAGAAGAGAGACAAAAATCTCCACCCTCATCGGGGAGACAGACATGACCAATAAACGCTGATAAATAATAAATCACTCAGAATGTGGAAGATAGACCTTAAGCAAATGTATCACGTGGGACGTGGTGACTTGACCTGTTGTCCCGTAAGGACAACAGCAGCGTGAGAGGGCAAGCGATGGGGTGCAGGGGCCAGTTTAGGTCAGGCAATCAGGGAGGGCTTCTCAGAGGAGGGGACATTTCCACAGAGAAGAGAGCCAAGCAGATGTTTTGGAGAAGAACGTTCTTGGCTGAGGGAACAGCAGCTCACCTCATGGTGTGTTTGGGCCCCGTCCAGGTTTTTCCATTTTTCAATTTATCTCTTTTCTATCCCACTTGATTTCCAAGTTAAAGTGCTTTTAGAAAAAGCCTAACCTTAAGTAATCAGAAACACTGTCAAAGATTTATATCAGGATATGCACCCCAGCATTATCTGTAAAAATAGAACAAAACTGGAAGCAACTGGTTAAATACCGTATGGTCCCTCCATATGATGGCGTATCATGCCATCATTAAAAATCATCTGTTGGGAGAATATTTAAGGATTCAGGGAAATGCTCACCATATATAATGACAAGTAAAGGGAACTGATTTCTTTTAAAAAGAACCAAGGTGTACATGCTATGCTAAGTCACTTCAGTTGTGTCCAACTCTTTGTGACCCTGTGGACTATAACCCACCAGGCTCCTCTGTCCATGGGATTCTCCAGGCAAAAATACTGGAATGGGTTGTCATGCCCTCCTTCAGGGGATCTTCCTGACCCAGGGATCGAACCAGTGTCTCTTAGGTCTCCTGCACTGACAGATGGGCTCAGGCTGACATTGCAAAATACCATAGACAGGGCAGCTTAGACAACAAAAGTGTGCTTTCTCATAGTCCTGGAAACTGGAAGTCCGAGATCAGGGTGCCAGCGTGGTCCAGTTCTGGCAAGGGCTCTCTTCCTGCTTGCAGATGGCTGCCTTCTCACTGTGCCCGCTCATGGTGAGGGGGAGAGAGAACAAGCTCTCTGGGATCTCTTTTTATAAGGACACTAATCCCATCATAGGGGTCCCACTCTCATGACCTCCTATAACCCTAATCACCTCCCAAAGACTCCATCTAAAAAATGCCATTACATTAGGGATGAGGGCTTCAACTTATGAATTGTGACATAGTTCTGTCCATAGAACCTTATCATCTCAAGTGTATAATTTTGAAAATAAAAGAAAAAAAAAAGACTGAAGTCTGCTGTACCAAGATGGCATCTTGTTAGTGGGACTTGGGAATCTTTATTTTCTTGATACTTCTCTATATTGACAAATTTGTCTACAATGAGCACAAGTGACTTTTTTAAACTTTTTATTTTATATTGGAGTATAGCCAATTAACAGTGTTGTAATAGTTTCAGGTTGACAAAAGGGACTCAGCCATACATATACATATATCTTTTCTCCCCCAGACTCCCTTCCTGTCCTGCTGCTGCATAACATTGAGCAGAGTTCCATGTGCTATACAGTAGATCC